CAAAAGCGTGTATTTTCCTAATCCGTTAAAAAATGATTTTAAAAAAAATAAAATTTTACTTAAATTAACAACATATTTTTTGATTAGAATGTTGTTTATGAAAAAATAACAGTAAATGAATATGTTAAGCTGGTTTTCGTAAAGTGTAAGTTTAGTTAAATTAAAGTATTCAAAAATTTTATAATTTCAAGTTCGATAAGAATTAGAACTCATTTTTACTATATGTAGAGGTCATATCTTGCGATCGAGTTTTCGACCACTTCTACTTCTCCAATACAATATTAATATAATAAATGAAATTGAAGCTCTCAAATATTGCGACATATTTTATGAATGCGCCCATTTTTTGAGATGTAGATTTTTAGCCAAAATCTTTTGGATTTCTTACAGAAAACAATATTTAACACAAAATAAATCTGCATTCTTTGTTTTCAACTGTTTATGGATTCACCATTTTATCTAATTTTGAAAAAAAATTCGTGTTTTGCTTTTCAAATATTTTTCTTCAAAATGTAAGCAAACATGAGGAAGGAAAAAATTATTTTTAGAAATTCCAGAATCAAGTACACTAAATGCTATTTTTATGAATATCATAATGTTTTCTGACCAAAAACGAGGGTGAAATTATTAAAGTATCACATTATTTAAAAGCAATATGACTTAAAAACAAATAACGTTTTTCCTGAATTTAAAATTTCCCACCCGAAATAATAATTCAAGTTCAAATCTTTTAAGTTTCAACTGATTTTATAAGCTCTTTGCCGACCACAGGATTTTTTAATTTCGAATGAAAAACACGTGATGAGTGAGTTCAGAAATTCGAATTTATTTCTATCATTATAAAATTTGTAGTGTTCGAAATCTCACCAAAAAATTCGTGAGAAAAATTTTCTATAAATTTTTAATCTCAATTTATAAAGTCACAAGAATATTTTTTTTTTAAAAAAATTTATTTGAAGATGGAATCAGAACGAAAAATTGAGAAAGTAAAGATTTTTGAACTTTTGGGCACTGGATATGGTCAGTTCCGCAACTTTGAATGATAAATAAAGTTCATTTTAAATCAGACTTGCGTCATTTCGTATGTTGGCAGTTATGTAAAATTTTGAAAAATTCAAATTTTATTTTCCGTTAAAGCATAAAACAAAATTTTGCTTTAATTAAGCTACAGATTATGAAGCTTTTCGATCAGTATCACTAATTATGTGATCAATAAGTTGTTAATCATTGTTTCAAGCAGTTTCAAGTAAGAAAATTCCTAAATTAAGAAAATTCAGTTGAAATTGAAAAATGTCAACAAAAAAATGTAAGTGTATTAGTGTAAAAATTTCTTTAAAATATTTCTGCAAAAAACTCTTTTGTTTCTTGATATTCATGATATTAAAGCTTATCAATGTTCATAAAAAATAACAAGCTTTGATTCTAAGCGAGTTGACAGTAGTTATCATAGCTAAAATGCTCAAAATTCAGCATAGAATTTTTTAAAGTTTTTCCGGTTGAATTGAGTTTAAATTTTCGAAATAAATTTCGAATTTTTTGAAGCCAATTTCGAATTTCTTCGAAATGAAATGACGCAAGCACAATGATTCAGATTTGAAAAAAATGTTCAAAAATTCAAAAATAACAAGTTAATTAAACTATATGTTTTAAATGCCAGATTAAAGAACATGATGTGTTTTATGTTCTGTAAAAATATCACATTCCAATTTGTTGTCTAATTCACAAAAATTCGATTTTAAGATGCCAATAAATTTGTTTACAAAATGACAACAAATATTTTTCTTAAATTTTTTCTCCTTTCCACTTCAAATTTCTTGTTTTAATCCTGATAACCAGCTTAATTAAGCTTAGTACTTTGTGTTTGTGTGAAGAAACCAAAAGAAAACCTATTAATTGGGCGAATATACATGATTAATTTTTTTGAAATTTACCAAGACTTTAAACACTCATAAGTTAAATTCGCGTCTTTCCGCTTCTACCAAACCTATTTAAATATAAAGAACAAAGTCTAATTAACCTTCCATATTAATGTGTACATGCCCAAATATGCCCGAAGCGAGATATTTGCGATTGAAAATTAGTTAATTTTTCATACAAATTACTATCGTGCGCCAAATTTTTTGATAAACATTTGTGAAATTTGTAAAAAAAAACTTATTTATCCTCAATTTCATGACTTAATATTTTGAGGAATCAATAATCAAGTAAGATTAAAGGCATTAAAAGTCCTAAACTAGAGAATATCAATAAAAAATTTCATTACTTCAATGTGTCTGAAAAATATTGTGCACAAGGAATTTTTGAACATTTTTTCCGAATCTGAATCATTGTGGCAAGTCTGTTTTAAATCATCCTTTACGATTGCATAGCATTTGTTTTAAAATTCAAGCAAATTCAGCAATGCTTAAAGAGATCAAAAAAGCATCCAGAGGCATTGAAGCTATTGACTGATATACATTCAAAAAGAAGAACACAGTCAATAACAGAAAAACTTCCATTAATCTCTGTGTTCAAAAATTTCATACAAAATTTTTCTCACGAGTTTTTTGGTGAGATTTCGAACACTACAAATTTTATAATGATAGAAATAAATTCGAATTTCTGAACTCACTCATCACGTGTTTTTCATTCGAAATTAAAAAATCCTGTGGTCGGCAAAGAGCTTATAAAATCAGTTGAAACTTAAAAGATTTGAACTTGAATTATTATTTCGGGTGGGAAATTTTAAATTCAGGAAAAACGTTATTTGTTTTTAAGTCATATTGCTTTTAAATAATGTGATACTTTAATAATTTCACCCTCGTTTTTGGTCAGAAAACATTATGATATTCATAAAAATAGCATTTAGTGTACTTGATTCTGGAATTTCTAAAAATAATTTTTTCCTTCCTCATGTTTGCTTACATTTTGAAGAAAAATATTTGAAAAGCAAAACACGAATTTTTTTTCAAAATTAGATAAAATGGTGAATCCATAAACAGTTGAAAACAAAGAATGCAGATTTATTTTGTGTTAAATATTGTTTTCTGTAAGAAATCCAAAAGATTTTGGCTAAAAATCTACATCTCAAAAAATGGGCGCATTCATAAAATATGTCGCAATATTTGAGAGCTTCAATTTCATTTATTATATTAATATTGTATTGGAGAAGTAGAAGTGGTCGAAAACTCGATCGCAAGATATGACCTCTACATATAGTAAAAATGAGTTCTAATTCTTATCGAACTTGAAATTATAAAATTTTTGAATACTTTAATTTAACTAAACTTACACTTTACGAAAACCAGCTTAACATATTCATTTACTGTTATTTTTTCATAAACAACATTCTAATCAAAAAATATGTTGTTAATTTAAGTAAAATTTTATTTTTTTTAAAATCATTTTTTAACGGATTAGGAAAATACACGCTTTTGCGTTGCACTTGTACAGAAATTGAATTAAAGTTCTTCATTTTTGTACTCAATATGTGCTTTATAAGGTAATTTAAGTATGCACAATAATAAAACAACATATATGTAACGAAATGTAAATCAATAGTTTGAAGTTGTCTAGACTTTAGAAAAGAGAAAACCTTTCGTAAAAGTTCAAAATTTTGCATTCTGTACAAGTGCAACGCTTACAAAAAGTCAAATATTTTGTAATTTAAAGCATGTAGAAGGAACCAACTGCAACAAAAGGATATAATTTAATCACCATACATAAATATATTTGGTGTTAAGAACGACTAGATAGCTTAATAAAGATAAATAATGTTTCATTGACGAATTTTTTGAAAACGTCAATCGATAGAATTGTCCATTTGTGTTATTAGCCTTGTCAATAACATACTCAAAACCGTTTAAATGATCAAAATTGGTTAATTCAGCAAAAAGCTTAAAGTTAAATCCGAGGATTAATTATCTGCAATTCGAGTTTTTAATCTCTATATACATTAGTATATAGGTTTGAAAAACTGCACGTGCAGTTTTTTACTTCTAATGATTTTTTCATTAGGAATTAAAAACTGCACATGCAGTTTATAATCTCTATATATAAATGTATATAGAAGTTATAAACTACACGTGTAGTTTTTTACTTCTAATGGAAAAATCATTAGAAGTAAAAAACTGCACGTGCAGTTTTTAACACCTATATACAAATGTATATAGAGATTAAAAACTCTAGATGCAGAAAATTTAGGTTTTATAAATTTGAAATGTTTAGAGGTAAAAAACTTTAGGTGTTTTGAACGGTCATCAAAAAAATTTATTTCATCCAAAGTTTAATTTAAAATAAAAAAAAATCACAGTGAACTTTTGATTTAAAAAATTCGTAAGAAAGGAAAGTTTTTTCCTTTTCTGAAGCATCGGCTGTTCCTACCTTGCCCAAAAACAATACAGCTCTTCTATAGAGCAGCACGGATCAAATGTAAAAAACTAGAAGTCTCTACGATGTCTCGTTATTGAGATTTCTTGCTGATTAACTTGCTTGCTTGTTTGCTTACAGAAAGCGTATTTTGCGATTTTCTCAGCATTGCCACAACCACTTTGAAATCTGTTTTTGAAAATGATGTAAAATTTCAGGCACAAACTTTTCTGCTGTGACCTTTTCTAACCAATTTTGCTTTGTTTTCTCACAAAATGCGAAAAACTGATTTTTCAATCTGAACAAAACCAATAGATTCACACGTGAAAACGGTGTGAATATAAAAAATTGTTCATAAATGACGTCTCCTTACAAAAAAATAGGAGATTATTACGTTTCATCTTAGTCTGCACACTTAGTTTCCTGTCATAAATTCTGCTTATATTTGTCAAAAATAGACATTACTTTTAGATGTGTCCTAATCATGTTTTTCTATTTTTTTAATTGTCTCATAGATTAAGAATCAATTTTATTTTAACGATCTAATTAACAGCTTTAAAAATGTCATCAGAATTGAATTTGAAATTTTAACAAATCACAAAGTTTAATTACTATTGAAGCTTCAAAGCACGTTGAACAACTCCTAAGTTAGCATCATGAAATTTTTTGTGAAATTTTTGGTTTATTTGATTTCCTTGAAAATTGTTTCTGCCTGTGTAAGTAGATTTTGATCTTTAAATCATGTTTATTAAAAAGTCAAGTGCTGATTTGTAATAAATTTTTTAAAATAGCAAGGGCATAAGCTGAAGGTTAACTATATACAAAATATCGACAGCGATAGTGTCATTAAAATTATGGAAAATTCAACTGCAAAATTGACAAAAGATTGCTTCATAATTCCATCAGCTTGTGGTAGAACTAATGGATTTAATACAGCTATGGTTCATGTTGAGGTGTTTAAAAATAATTTGTGAGTGGTTTTTTTGATTAAGAACAAGGCGTGCAAACTCAGGAATAAAGCTATAAAATCCCAAAAGTCCTAAAAAATTCATGAGCTAACGAACATGAAAATGTAAAATCCCTTTTAAATCCCGAAATTATTCATCAATTGCATGAGAGATTTCACATTTCAATGTTTATTTGCTCAGAGATTTTTTTTTTTGGATTTTTGGGATTTTTCAGGATTAATCGTAAGTTTCCCCGCTTTGATTTAGAATAAGTAATTGACATCCTTGTGCTGTTTACTGATATAAGAACCTTTAGTTCTCTTATTGCTTATATCTTGACATATTTAAAACATAATAGGGGCTGTTCACTTATGACGTCCAGAGGGGGAGGGGGTAGAAAGTAAAGATCAATAGGAATTACTAAAAATCCATTGTTCTTTTTGTGAAAAATGACTGTAATTTCGGACTTCATTAGTCATAAATCTTTTGTTAAAATTGAATACTTTACAAAGTTTTTTTTTTGATTTTAACAAACTCAATTCATTCGACTTGACGCTTAATACTAATTTATAAAAAGCCCTAAGGTTGACTAATGACAAACAGTATGAAAAAATGTTATCAATCGAGGTCTAGGGTTGACTAGCTTTAGTTTCAAGAGTCAAAGTTCGTAAATAAAGTTAAATATCTAATTGAACAGGTCGATTCACAAATCTGACTTTGATGGATGTAAAAACTTGGAGGACGCTCAACCTGAATTTAAGGAAATGATTAAGATGTTTGGATTACCGGAACATTGCCCAGTCAGTAAGGTATGGTCAATAATTTATAAGTCGATATGGAATTGCGATAATTTGGTTTTGAGTATGTATATTGAGTGAACCCAGAAAATCTTGAAAGAGAGGCTTTTTTGTATGGTCGGAAAAAATTGGACTTGGCCAAGGATTAGAAATTGTACAAAACAATAAAATGTCAGCTGATCATTTCCGAAATTATGAATGAGTATCTGATTTTTTGTTGAATCCAATGTGATGAAAATAAATTTTACCATTGAACAGTGATTTCACAAATAATATCGTTGCTGTATCCATAATAGTAACTACTTCTCAGCTACAAATCATCAACATACTCTTTCTTAGTATTCAGAAACAATTCATTGCTCAAATTATCACATGTTAAACTTCCAAACAGTCGTTCATTACTAACTATGTAATATTAATGATTATATTACATCTCCCATACCAATCTAGGTTGATACTTGTGAAGATGGATCGAAAAAAATTGATTTGAATAAATACAAGCACATTTTTAACTTGGCAAGAGGCGGAGCTATTCGAACTGAAGTTGAAATTAAACACGACAATGTAAGTTTTTTTTATTTGTTTAATACAATTTTAAATAATATTATTGTATTTTTATTTTAAGGGCAAAAGTACATTCAAGAGTGAATTTCAAATAACTAAAAATTAATTTTTTAAGGATGTAAAGGTGGAATAATTTTTGGCAAGGATTTCATTTTTTTTAACCTACTTATAAATTTAAAAAAATATATAAAAGGTGGTGGTTTATAAAATTAAATTTGAAATTTTAAATTACGTCTGCAATAAATTGAATAAAAAAAATAACTGAAACAAATTGGATTTTGCATCTAAAGAACATTATTAAGCTAGCAACGTTGTATAAAAGTTTACTGAATTCACCCGAATCAAGATAGTGTCGAGTCGACTCAAGTTGTCATAATGTTTCAACGTCAGAGTTTAAAGTCGAATAGAATCAACTCGATTTTCTTGAAACGGATTTAAGTCATCTTCAATCAAGTCATTATTGAGCTAAGAAGCAAAAGTGCCATGATAGCTCAATTGGCAAAGTACAGTTCACTAAAGTTGGTTCTCCCGGGTTGGAATCCCATCATCAGTCTAGTGATTTTTCAGAAGTTTAGATACTTTGGCTTCTTAGATGCAGTTGTTTAAGACGTAAAACTAAGAATTAAGCGATTTGAGATGTAGGAACGGCTCAAGAAGTAAGGAGCACAATGAGAAAGATACGAGAGCCGTAAATTCACCATGTAGTGCTTTTACTGGAACGGACTTAGAAGCATTATGACCTACTGAAAATTTGAACTAGAGCCGACATGAACACTAGTTCTAAGACCCTAAAATATATTTAAACAATGGCCAAACATTTAAATAAGATCTTAATACAAGATTGAACCCACAAACTTGCTGTTTTGAAGCAACTCGATTGTCAAACTTTTACTACCCCAAATGACTTGCTATATCTCAGCCCAAAAAGTGTAAATACATTTCAACCTTTAAAAAAAAAAAATGATTCACACGACAAATAAATTAATTTCCAACTCATCAACAAACACCTCACCGCATACAGCCTCAATTTTATTCTCTCCAAAAAGAAGCCAGACATTTAAAAAACTAAAGTAAATAAATTAATCTCCAAACTTTGTTGACGACTATGAACTTTTTTTTTCATCAGCACTTAATAATTTTTTTTGTTCATAACACTCAAATTAAAGGAGCAACGGAATCAACATCAGTTTTGACTTAGACCTGATCGACACAACACGTCAAAATGAGATATCTTTTACTCTTTCTTATAGTTACCGTTTTGGTTGCTATTGCTTACAGCAGTCCAGTTCCTGAAACAGCAGCCGTCGCTGCAGCAGCATTGAAGGTCAGAAAAGCTCCAGGTAACCTTCGTGCTGGAGTAAATGGAAAACCAGCCCTAAGAAGAAAGTTAAAAGCAGGAAACGGTAAATTAAGGCAAAGACGACTCCGAGCTGGAAAAACAGCTCCAGGTGGTAAAAAAAGGATCGTGAAAAGAAGAAGACCACAGCCTTAAGAAGTAAAATTCAAGGTAGACTGATTGACAATTTCAAAGTTTTCTATTTTTAAAACTTTTTTTTTTTTCATAAGGATTCGCAGATAAATCCATCAACATCACAGACCTGAGAGATGAAAACCTAACATCAGATGAAATAATTAATCCATTCAATTTATTTTCCATATTTTTCCATAAAAAAAAATTATCTGAAATAAAAAAGAATCTTAAATTTGATGAAATATTCCAGTAAAATAAAAACAAATGTCTTATATTTGAGCTAAACTTGATAATAAAATGATGAATAAAGTAACTGAGCTACTTTGAAATGACTTTATGATAAATTTTCGCACTTTATGAATATTTTTATGTCCTGGTTGTGGAATTTATCAACTTATCATCTTTTATTAATTTATTAATAATTGTTCGTCATCTTGATAGGATCCGAATCCATGGGTATATGCTGTTCACAAGCAGACTTGATATTGAGGACAAAAATTTGAAAGTTGTTTACGTTGATCCTGCTTTATAAATAATTATTGTAAATTTTCTTAACTGCATCACTAGTAATCTGTACCGTTAAAGTTAGTTTTATGGAAGCTTTAAGCTCGCCTTTATGAATTCATTCTCACTTTTAAATTCTCTGGGTCCTGAGACATTTTCAAATCTACATTGTTGCATTCCTTGATCAAGTCATGAACCTGGTTTCATTTTGTGTTCAAGACTTTGACAATGAATAATAATTCTCTGTTTGGCCTTCCCAACATACTCACATACCTCCTTCGTTAGCTATATAGATCAATTGTAATCCATGACTTTCTCAAGATCAGAACTCGTAGTCGACGAAATTTTGCATGGAGACGACTCCACAATAAAAAATCGATAAGAATCTCTCGTCGACTTCGAGCTCTGCTTTAGATGAACCCTGAAGCTGTTTTCTATTGCTGGCTTCTCCTTGCCAATTTTTAAAAACCAAGTGCAAAACTGTCTCTATCAACAGCTTTCTTCCATGAGTTCTTTGGCCTTCCACGTGCTCTTTTCCCATCCACAACGTCCGACTTAAAGACCTTACTTAATGGATCCACAGCTACAAGATTACCTTATAATGGAATATTGTCAGAATGGACCTGAAATGTATCACGTCACGCCCACAGAAGATTGAAACGAGAGCCTGAATTTAATCGAAACCTAGATTTGAAGATTAGAAGCTTGATTCTACGTCACCCATAGTGATATGAAATGTATCACTAATCAATGTAAAAAGTAAAACATGTATAAATACTAATTCTTCCGGACGGTAACGTCGACAAATAAATAATAAAAAAATAAATGAAAAAGGTCTTTTCATAACATGTCCAGCCCACTTAGCTTACGCATAGCCAATATGGTCAGAATTATGTTCTCACCACTTCAATTTCAGCTGTTGACCACGAAAACTTATATATTTTGAACTCGACTTAAAACTAGAACACGTATGTTAAGAACTATGCAAAATGATTTTCAGGACCTTCAACTTAGGTTATTATAATAAATAAAAGACGCTTCTTCGAGTTGTTGATTATTTAAACTGCAAATGATTTGGAGTCGGAATTAAACCTTTATTATTCGATACTAGATCGACGCAAATGACAAATGATTTAACAAGGATCCGTTATGGCTTTATTACAACTTAGATCTGACGAGTCCATCTTATGTCAAGCCTCACAGAAGCAGATTCAATTTGATGCTCCTAAAAAAATTGTGATGTAGCATTGTTGAAGCTTTCTGTCAAATGTGTTGCTCGGGATTGAATGTAAAACATTTTTATTTTGGCTTTTATGATTTTTTTTTAAATCTTTAGAATCAATTTTTTATTCATGCTTTATAAATTTACAAAATGCTCAGTTATTAATATTAGACATAAAATAATTATTCGCTCAAATTTCATAAATTTTTGACAGTTCCAGATGATGATAAACGTAGCTTCCATGTCTACATCTTTTTAATTTGGATTCTCTCTCGCTATTTCTACTTGCTAAATGATCTTATATTTAAGCCATTAAATCGTGCGAACGGATGATGTTGATTTTCACGATTTGATACCAATAAGCTGTTTAAGATGGCCACATAAGCAATGTGAGTAAGTTTGAGGTCCTCACATGCTGCAGCTTTCTTTGGCAGAGTCTCAATTGAAACTGAATTGAATTTAATAATTTATTGCTGTCATTTCGGATGAAAATTGAGGCTTCTTGTGTGTGTGAGTGACGCACAGGTGTTTTTGGAATTTATTTTGAGATTATAGCTTTGATGAAGTTGGTTTGTTCTGATGTGCAATGGTGTGGAATTTGTTTTGAAGCTTATTTAATAATTATAAAAATTTTAGGTTTGAATTGGATTTCCTTTGATTCCAACAATGTTCAACGTTCCTGGCTAATAAAGGTATCCTTAAAAATGAGCTTTAAATCTGTTAAGATTGCAAAAAATACTGAAATTAAAATGCTCTAAACTTTAAATTGAAATTTCACAAGATAAGAAGCAATAAAACTTTATTACATCCAAAATACAATAAAAGTCAGAACTTAATTAAATTTTATTGTCATCGAGTGCCTTTAAATTAATATTTTTATAGGCTGGTGTAGCTCGTGGTGATGTAAACGCCAAAAAAGGAAAATAATGAATCAGCTTTGAACTTCTTGGTGCTGAATTTTGTGAATTTGACATCAGAACATCTAAGATTTTAGAATTTTGTCCATAAACATTTGCCAAAAGGAGAACAAAAAATATAAAAACTAGCTTCATTGCTTAATCACTAAAAAGTAGACACGTAGATTCGAATTCAGAGTCTGGAAAGACAATAAATGTTTGAATTTAATCAAGCAAATGAGTTTCAGACACTTGAAAATGTGTTTTTGAATACAGCAAACTCATTGTTGCCTTGATGCTCATGAAATTGAAATTAAGCCTATTTCTTCCGCTTCACTTCAAGTTCCTAGCCCGTTCTCTAATCCAACGTTGCCCAAATGCCCAATTATGGTTTTTTCTCGTCCATTAAGCAGTCTAAGTATCTTAACTTCCGAAAAAGAACAAATTTGAAAATGGCTGGATTCGAACCGACGATCTTAGAGTTACCATAACAAATTTGAGCCAAGCGTCTTACTCGTTTGACCAGCAAGGCACTTAACAGCTTTAATATGTATAGGTAATCCTCAATTTTAAAAGATGTTTTGTTCCAAAGAAATACTGTTCAAATCGAGGATCCCCTTTAATTACCAATTCTCCAGTTTAATTGATAGATTAATGATAAGATATGTTATTTGTAGTTTTAGTACGAACTAATTACATCTTAAAGCTGATTTCCAACCACAGTACAATACTCTTTTCATGGTGTACTCGATTGTATTACAATACCGTTTTTATTCTACAGACACCGTTTCGTGTTAAACTTATTAAAAATTGATAAAGAGTCAATTAATGAGTTCTGGATGTCCTAAGGATCCCTAAAAACCAGATTATTGTACATAATACTAATGTGTGAAGGGCCCTGCCTTTCAGCTGGAGGCACTGCGATTCAAATTAGAACAGAATCTATTGTACCACACCCTTTAGACCTACAGTTTATAGTGGGATCCAAACCACTTGCAAGCTCTGCACATTGCAAATACACGAGTACGTCATAAGACTTGATGTACACTGCAATATACCTAGTCACAATTCGCGTGCGCAAGATGCCGTAAGGAAGTCATCCAGATGCTAGTATATTCTTGTATACCTAGCAAAGGAGGCAGTTTCTTTGCCAAAGACCTCAAAACTACACCCAGCACACGAACCGAGCTTCGTAACTAGAACGGTGAAATGGAAAAAGAGAAATTATTGTATATTCTAAGACTTATAACTTTGTTAACTTCAGAGTCAGACTCAATACGATTTGACTCTGTAAATCTACATAAGTGCTACTTATTTAAAAAAAATAAATTTAATTACAAAAATATTAAATTTATTCTTTACAAAAATTTACATTTGATAAAAATTATTGTACAAAAACGTTAAATTGGCTGAAAAAGACTTTAAATAATAATAAAATTTAACTTTTCTATTCAATTTCATCCAAAATAGTGACAAACAAAAACAAGCCATTTTAAACCGAAGTTGTGCAGCAATACCATTGAGGAAGCTCAAATGACATGAATTTGGATGTATTTGGAGGACAAACACATGGCACTCTTGTGATACCATTCAAGCACAACTCACAAACAGGCAGTGGACTAATGTTATTGGGACTGCTGTTGATAATCAAAAGTTCACATTTATCACCACCAGCATTTGTTGCCGTTGTAAAGACTGAAAAGTTTTAACAGAATTTTTTGGTGATAATTTTCAGTTTCACTTAAATTCAAAATTAAGTTGAACTTACTTGAAAGGATTACCAAGAGAAGAATGTAGCAAATTTTACTATTAAATTCCATTTTAAATTAATACTTTAAGACACAAAATCAGGTTCGCAAAACAAAACTAATGGAAATGAGCACTAAACTTTAACTGACAGTTACAAAATTGCTACACTAGGATTTATACTTGTCACATGAAGAAACTGATTTAATGACTTAAACTCGATTAAAGTTTAGTTTTATATGCAAACTTTTAACACTGAATGACCCTCGTCGCAGGACTTGATAGACATGAATTCACGATTTTAGTATTTTATATCGTCAATAATTTTTATAAGTTTGACTAATCGATGCACGACTTTTAGTTTAAAGTTTTGAGAAGTAAAAGTGCCTCGATAGCTCAGTTGGTAAGGTACAGGTCACAAAAAGTTGGTGTTGAATCTGGACTCCCGGGTTCGAATCCCACCACCAGCCTAGTAATTTTTCAGAAGTTTGGATACTTTGGCATCTTAAGTGCAGCAGTTTAAGACGTAAAACTAAGAATTAGGCGATGTAAGTTGCTGGGACGGGTCAAGAATTATGTAAACAGAATGAGAAAGATATGAAAGCTGTAAATTCATCATGGAGGGCTTTTACAGGAATGGAACTGGAGACATTGTAACCTACTGAAGATTGGAACAAGAGCCGACATGAACACTAGTTCTAAGATCTATAACAGTTTTTAATTGGCTGCTGGACACAACTTCTTAGTGAAGATTATGCGCTACATACTGAGCTAGCGTACATAATATAGATTTTAAGAATTAATAATATTAGGAGTAAAATTGTACGGCCTGTTTCACTAAGGTGGATTATCCTCATTTTAGGATTATGTATTTCTTCGATGCGCGGAAAATCCAAAAATTTTTTTTTCTGATTTAGAATTAATTGGTTAATAATAATCAGAACAGTTTGAGAAAACATCTTTTTATTCGATAGTGAATATAGCACAAAAATGATTTTAGTATATGGATTATCCTGAGATTATCCAAGGATAATCCTGAAGATTATCCAAATTTTCAATCTTGGGGGAACCCAGTTTTAACATTTTAGATTATTTATGTGGATAATCTTCGGATAATCTCAGGATAATCTTCGGATTGAAAAAGTGGATAATCCGATCGGTGGATAATCTACCTTAGTGAAACAGGCTGGTAGCGTTTAAAAGTTTATTAAAAACACTGTTTTACAATTTAAGATGAATAAATAGAAATTGAAGTTTTGCATCATTTTAAAAAAAATGTCACAGAAAAAGGTTGAAGAAACTAAAATAAAATAAATCGAGCGAAAATCGAGGAATATTTCAATGATTAAAATTTATGAATATTTACCGGTTTTTTTAAAATTCGAATTCGTGTTTTTCGACGTGTTCATAGAATGGTATTAAGCATGTAGTTTAAAGGTTTAAAAATGCGCTTCATGGAATTATCGAAATCTTATTAAACTTGTTGACCAACGTGTCGTGATTCGATGTCATTGAATGATAATTTTTATTGTTTAAAAATATTTAACAAAGCTTAATATCAATGCAATATTGAAATTCACAAAGTTTAATAAAAGAAGTCCTTGATAGACTTTAAATATTTTATTTTCAACGTGCAGGGCTAATAAAAAGAACCACATTTAAGTGATCAAGGCTACTCTTTACGTTACCAACTTCATTTTTTAAAAAAAAAATTAATTTCAAATAAAAAACAAAAAAATTGTAATTTTTATTTCAGAAAATAATTAAACATTACAAATAAAAACTTGTTCAAGAATTCCACACAAATTTCCAAATCCTCGAGCTAGTTTCATGTATCCATACTCTCCCCACCGCTTGCCATAAGAATTCTTCAAAATCCAGTATTTCCCAAAGTCTGGGTCTGTTCCAAAGCCAACAAGAAGCTAAGTAAGGAAAAAAATTTAAATTAAATTTTTAACAATTCATTTCATCTTTTGTACATCGCAATGCTTTTGTGTATTTAAAAAAATTGTTTTTAAGTTGAATGAATGAATGAAAGAATACATGCAGGCCTTTATGGCATCATACACATGTATTCTTTTTATTATAGACCTTACTGGTCGTTCGATAACATTTGACAAGTATAATTTTTGCAAAATCAAGTATATAAATAAATTTGATACGAAAAAACATAGCTAATAATAATTAACGGCATAAATAAATTTGAATTTGTTTGAGACTGAGATGGGCAGTTCACTTTAACCCAAAAAAAAAACCGTTACGATAAATTTAAAATTTATGTTGAAGTTAACATTAATGAAAAATAATTAATTTGGTTAATACTGTGATATTTGAGTGTTTCAGATGTGTAAAAGTGATTTGTGATGTATTAAAAGTGAGAGTATTTGCATAAATAAGTTGCGGTAAATAAAAAGGTGAAGTAGAATATGCTTAACACATGAAATTAGTGTTATTTAGTAAATCTTCTACATGTTTAAGCAAATAAGTCTTGACAGCTCGTTTGAAGGCATTAAGTTGATTTAGTTCCTTTAATTCGGATGGCAGGTTGTTGTAAATGTTGATTCCTCGGCAAGTTACATCGTTTTTCATAACATTTCTTCTATACATTTGCGGTTTTAGTAAATTGAGACGATTTGTTCGTTGTTTCTCGATTGGAAGTCTTTCAGGTGATGTAGAAATCAGGTTTCTTTTGATAATGAGTAAAGTTGAGTAATAAATGATTCCTTTCACAGTTAAGACATCAGGTGCATGGAGAGTGAATAGATCAGTCGTAGGACATAGAATTGGAAGTTGGTAGATCAGCTTTAATGCTCGATTTTGAAGACGTTGAAGTCTTTTAAGATCACCTTCAGTGCATCTTAGTAGAATAAAGCTGCAGTACATTAAGTGACTGTGTATATGGGCGAAATAGAATTGTTTTAGTGCTGAGAATGGAAGCTTATCCTTCATGTAAAATAAAGCTCCGATTCCTTGATTCATCTTCGTAGCCAAGGCATCTACATAACTTCCAAGTTTTAGTTCATCATCAATAATAATGCCGAGATAAGTCATCTCGTTTACGTATTGAAAGCCAGCACTATTAAGCATAATTTTTATATCTACCATTTCAGGTCGTCCGAGACACATATAAAAAGACTTATTGCAATTTATTTCAAATCCATTGTCGCGATAATATTCAACAAGTTCATTCAATAGTTGCTGCAAACGGAAGGAATTCTTGCCATCATCATCGTCTTTATCAACTAGGAATACTACGACAGCATCATCGGCATATTTTATTATTTTTGCATCAGTCTTCAGATTCTTCATGTCAATGAGCATAAAATTAAAGAAAGGTGGACCGACAAGGCTTCCCTGTGCAATACCTTCATTTATTTGTTTGGAACAGCTTTTAGCAGAATTAATTTGGACAAATTGACATCGATGTGATAGGTAACTTTTAATCAAGTCATTTGATGCACCTCTAATTCCCATAAACTCCAATTTTCTCAGTAATATATTGTGTTTCAATGAGTCAAATGCCTTCGATATGTCAAGTGAGAGAAGAACAATTCCATTTCCTTTATCCACTTCCTTTGAGACATTGAACATCACTTGGCATATTGCATCATGACATCCTCTTCCACTTCTAAAACCGAACTGCAAGTCGTCATATAAATTGTTACTTTCAAAAAAATCATCCAGCTGCATAAAAATAACTTTTTCGAATACTTTTGAAACAATTGGTAATACAGATATTTGTCTATAGTTTTCAGGATCCGTTTTAGAGCCTTTTTTGTGGATTGGAATTACTTTGGCCACTTTTAATGCATCCGGAAATTCGCTGTCATTTATCATTCGATTGATCATATAACACAGCAAAGGACATGCCTCATCAGCAATTGATTTCAGAATTCTAGGAGTTATATTATCATAACCAGGTGATTTCTTCATATCAAGTGAAATTATGAGATCAAAAATTAGCTGCTCACTGACATTATTGAATTGAAATGTGTTTTTCACGTAGGGACCTCTGTGAATTATTTGGATTGGATTATGATTTTTGTTGAACGATGTAATGAAGAAATTTTGAAGTGCATTGGTAACGTCCTCATCATCATGAAGCGTGGTTCCATTGGATACAATCGTGAGTTTATTTTGTGTTTTAGTTTTTCCACACATATCATTTATAACTTTCCACGATTGCCTCGGATTATCATAGATTAAGCCATTAAAGTATATGTAGGACTTTCTAATTTCCATTTCTTTCTTTTGTTCTGTCAAATTAGTTAAGTTGAATATAAGAATGTCACAAGATTTCTGTTGACTAGCTAATTTCCATACTTTTTCTTGCACGTTATGTATATGGTTGCAAAGACTTACATATTCTTTGTCCACCCATTTTGGGAGTTGAAAATTAGCGTCTCTTGTTTTTAAACAAATTGTTTGACAATTTGTGTCATAGATTTCCATCATGGTGCTCATAATTTCATCACAATTTTCATTCAGGGGTTTGTTTTCTTTTGGATTGTATTCTCTTAGGAATTCCTTTAATTGCTTTACGGTGTTATTATTATTATTAATCAATTTTTCCAATTTTTGAACTCCATTGTTTGATGAAATTTTTATATCAAACATTGCTGTTCCCATTAGTAGATTGTGATCAGAATACGGTGTTTTTGGACTCGTGAGCGTAACATTTTTTATGGTATCAGATATCAAAACATTGTCCAATATTGAACCGCTTGTGGAGTCTGATGAGCCAAATTGAAAGTAACTAAATGTTGTCGCGTTATTACTTCTTTCGTATCCATAAGAATGAAACAGGTCAGCATAATCTTTATATTTATTATTATTCTCTCTTATATTCATATCACCTGCAATTATGAGTCTTTTGTCGTAAAGCTGTAAAATTTCCTCAAGATTTTTTAGAAATTCATTAATATTGCTACTAGGCGGGCGGTAAAGTGCAAGAATATAGAAATCATAAGACGTGTTAAGCTCAAGTTTGACAAGGACGTACTCGATTGACTCGTTATAACACGTTTTGATTAAAGTGCTTGTAATTTTGTTTTGAATATAAACTGAAACTCCTCCACC